GAAGAGGAAGCAGGCTCCCTGATGAGCAGAGAGCCCGATGTGGGGCTCCATCCCAGGACCCTGGGATCATGACCTGAGCCGAAGGCAGAGGCTTTAACCCACTGAGCCACCCGGGCGCCCCACGGATTTGTTTTTTTTATTCGATGGATCATAATTCATCATTGTTCTTATTTTGATACTCAAGTTATCCCAGATTTGGCCAAGGAAAGGCCCTTTAAGCGGACTCTTGTTGACATGTCCCCATTTTATTTTCTGAATGTTCCTTATTTCTGGATTCCTCAATTTTTAAGAAGATTTTATTTATTTATTTGAGAGAGAGAGTGAGGGAGAAAGGGAGGGAGCAAGCACAAGTTGGAGGAGGGGTAGAGGGAGAAGGAGGAGCAGACTCCCCACTGAGCAGGTTGCTCGATGTGGGACTCAGTCTGAGGACCTTGGGATCATGAACTGAGCCAAAGGTGGACACTTAACCAACTGAGCCCCCCGGGGCGCCCCTGGATTCCTCATTTCTTGTACCTTCCTGCCCTAGCCCTGAAATCAGCTGTTTCTCTAAGAAGCCCTGGTTACTTTTCATGGGGACAGGTATATAAAAATTAAGATCTGGGCAGGGAACCTTTAATTTTGAAGTTAGTTTTGATCATAAATCAAAAGGAATACATATAGATTTGTACAAATCATCATATTTATGGCTGATTTAGCTATTTCCTTTTTTTCCCTTTGTGGTAAGAAAAAGAAGAAACTTAAGCTTGCTTTTTGGATTTTTCTTATCTACTTCAATTTAATTAATTCTGGCTGCAATTATTAGCAAAGAACACTCACTATAACAGCAACTATGGACCTTAGGTCTCTAGATAGCTATTGGAATATAATGTATCATCAGAATAAATTTGTGATGGAAGACTGCATAGGGTTTGAAATACTATAACATAATCTGTGAAACCCTGAAGAGAAGTGTAATGAAACATGGTATATCTCACTGAATTCATTTTAAAGAAATTGAATCAAAGTTCTATAAAGTAACACTTTCTGCAGTCAGATGCTTGTTGCAAAAGATGTTTTGCTTTTTACAGTGGTGTGATGTGTGGAAAGCTGCTGTGGTAATATCTCACATTATTATTTTTATGTGATAAAGGCAAATGAACTATAAAATGTTTGAAATAAGTACCTCAACTTCTATTTTAACTGAAATTAAATATGTACTGTCTTGATAACACAACTCTTTCAACAATGACATACTTTCGAAATATTGAAGATGAAATAAAGAGATCGTATTTTATGTGTGATAGCACTGGGGCGAAGACCAAATTCATTTGTTTGATGCATGTATTTCTCATTGCATGGGAACTACCTTGGTCACTTTTTAAAAATCCAAATTCCTGGGGCGCCTGGGTGGTTCAGTGGGTTAAGCCTCTGCCTTCAGCTCAGGTCATGGTCTCAGGGTCTTGGGATCAAGTCCTGCATCAGGCTCCCCACTCAGCAGGGAGCCTGCTTCTCTCTCTCTCTCTGCCTGCCTCTCTGCCTACTTGCAATCTCGGTCTCTCTGTCAAATAAATAAATAAAATCTTTTTTAAAATAAATAAATAAATAAATAAATAGATAAATATTCCTGAGCCCCACCCTGGTCCACTTCAGTATTATCTCATGATCCAGGGATCTGTATTTTAAAAATCTCCCCAGATAATTCTGAGACATTTGATCATTAAGCTGATTTGGGAACTATTGGACATGGCAAAAAAATACATTTATACCAGAATATAAGTCTCATTATATAAATAAGCTGCCTAAGGGCAGGAACTGTGCTTACAAATTTTTGTAAGCCCAGCACCTATTATGAGCCCCGGATATAGTAGGCATTTGATATATATTTATGAAAATAATTTTGACTTCAAATTTTATTAGTCTTTTTTTTTTTAAGATTTTTATTTATTTATTTGACAGAGAGAGATCACAAGTAGACAGAGAGGCAGGCAGAGAGAGAGAGAGAGAGAGAGAGGGAAGCAGGCTCCCCGCTGAGCAGAGAGCCCGATGCGGGACTCGATCCCAGGACCCTGAGATCATGACCAGAGCCGAAGGCAGCGGCTTAACCCACTGAGCCACCCAGGGGCCCCAAATTTTATTAGTCTTAATATCTAGTTTGTGCATGGAATACAAACCCACATTAGGGATATTCTATATTCATGTGAGAGGAAATACTTTGCACAGCAGGCTGAAAGACAATATTGGATCGGTGGGCTGATTTCTAAAGCAGAAGTGGCTGTGTTCAATTATAACCTTGAATTCTAATTTACTCTATGCTTCTGGAAAATGAAGAAAGAATCTCACATTTATGATTGAGCTAGTCTACAATTTCTCTGTTTTATTCCTCTTTTCACTAAATGTTCTACTTGTTGCCAATATGGCTAGACAAAAAGAAAATAGTAGCTAACGTTTGCATGGTATGACACAGTGGTTCTCAAAGCATGGTCCAAGGAGTCCTGGGGTTTCTAAAACCCTTTCTGGTGATCCATAAGGTCAAGACTTTTTTTCCTCATAATATTAAGCTGTTATTTGCCTTTATCACTCTCATTCTCTGAGTGTACAGTGGAGTTTTCCAGAGGCTACATGATATGTATACTGAAACAGATTAGGGGTGCTTGGGTGGCTCAGTTGATTAAATGTCTGCCTTCAGCTCAGGTCATGATGCCAGAGTCCTGGATCAAGCCCCACATCGGGCTCTCTGCTTGGTAGGGAGTCTGCTTTCTCTCTCCTCCCACCCTGTGCACTCTCTTGCTATCTCCATCTCTCTCTCTCAAAATCTTTTTTTTTTTTTTAATTTTTAAAAAGATTTTATTTATTTATTTGACAGAGAGAGAGATCACAAGTAGGCAGAGAGGCAGGCAGAGAGAGAGGGGGAAGCAGTCTCCCTGCTGATCAGGAAGCCGATGTGGGGCTCGATCCCAGGATCCTGAGACCATGAGGTCCTGAGACCTTGAGCTGAAGGCAGAGGCCTAACCCACTGAGCCACCCAGGTACCCCTCTCTCTCTCTCAAAAATCTTAAAAAAAAGAAAAAAATCAATGAATAAAAGATATGAAAATTAGCTTTCTTCTATATCCTGGACATTAAAAAAATTTTCAGGAATGTAAAACCATGCTTCTCTTCTATGTTTTTTGGAAAATATAGTTATTATTATTCATAAAAATGTTATTTATATCAGCATATAATGGGTTTATTATTTGTAATGACTAAATATTAATTCTAATTTCTAATATGTTAAATTTTAATTTCTAACATGTTAAGTATTGATATGTATAATACACATAAACAACAGTTGCTTGGGATCCTCAATAATTTATAGGAAAGTAAAGGGTTCTATAAAGACCAAAAAGTTTGAGAACCAGTGATTTATGTTTCTACATTCAGTTTTACATAGATGAATATTGCCTAAAAGTAGATTAAATTACACCAATCTTATTAATGGATTTTTGTTCAACATTTATGTAATGATGATTTAACTTCCTTTTTTCCTTGTTCCAAGAAATGGTTGACTTAGCTACTACTTAAAATTCTATGGGACCTTCAGGATGTTCCATAGTAATCTGTAACACAACTTGAAATTTCCATTATGAGAGTTAACAGACATGCTGCCTGGGAAGGATACCATGATAAGTGCCTACTAATAAATGGGGAAGGATTTCTTTTTCTTCCTTCCTTCCTTCCCTTCTTTCTTTAAGATTTTATTTATTTATTTGAGAGAGAGAGAGAGTACTAGCAGAGGAGAGGGGCAGAGAGAGAGGGAGAAGCAGACTCCCCACTGAACAGGAAGCCCAAAGTGGGGTTTGATCCTAGAATCCCAGAACAATGACCTGAACCCAAGGCCCATGCTTAACCAACTGAGGTGCTGGTGTTCAGAAAGGATTTATCAGATTTTTCATTTAACAGTGAGCAGGCTCTAAATGGAGAGAGAAACAGAAAAGGTTATTTTGATGGTTGAGAAGCAAATAAGCAAAGATCTCTAAAACCCCTATGACAGGTAGATCCAGAGGACAACAGATAAGAATACTGTTACCAGTTCGGACTTTGGTGTCCTTCCGATCAGAACTGTGTCCCAGTTGCAGTATTTACTGCATTGCCTAGAGTCTTAGCTGGCTTCCCCACCTGCAATTGAATACAAACTATCCATCCCACAGGGTATTTGTAAATAAACACTGGGTTGTGAGTAAAGAGCTAGCACAGTGGCATGAACACAATGATTTTTTCTTAGGTTAGTGGGGAGGGAGGGTTCTCTGAGAAGAAATGGAGAAAAGAGTTAAATTCACAATTCAACCCAGTGATAGTTGTCTGCCGCCTTTCGCTTCTATGGTTGTAGCCTTTTTCACAGCTCTGCTAAGGCAACTCCTGAAGAGGAATTTTTTATTTGAAAACCCTCTGGTATCATAATCAAAATATTTTTATTCTATTTCTATAGCAAGAGAGACGATCCGTTTCCATCTCCACTTCTGACAGCAACAACTTCGGAGAAAAACACTTTATTAGTAGCTTAGGGGCTAAACTCTCCCACAGTGTTACTTTGCAAAGAGAACAGCTGAAAAACCCACAGAGTAGAGGAATTGGGGAGGTTTCTAAATGCAAAGAAACTTCAAGGTCAGGAAACAGAAATTTTACTAGAAACCTAAACCTAAATACAGTTCAAAAGGAACAATTCCCAACTCACTGTGGTCATTTTCTTTTCACTGACTCCTTTACGTTTAGTCAACAGGTAAACGGGTACAATGAAGTCGCAGCAGGCACAAAAAATTCAATTTAACAAACTTTTTGTGTATACTCATGTGTGTTGGAAGAAGTGGAGCAGAGAGAAAGGCAGAGAGCTTCTAGGCGCGCTCTCGCTTTCCCGCCTAAACATTGAGGAGGCGGGGCCCGAGGCCGGGGCGGGGCCCGAGGCCGGGGCGGGGCCCGAGGCCGGGGCGGGGCCCGAGGCCGGGGCGGGGCCCGAGGCCGGGGCGGGGCCCGAGGCCGGGGCGGGTTCTCCGTGCCCCTCCCACACGTATTTCGCCACTATCCCGACAGGCCCAGCGGCCTGGAGAGTCACGTGAGGGTGGGCGGTGGAGGTGGAGGTTTTTCTCCGCTGGTTTTTCATCTCTATGATTGTCAGAGGCGGGCTGCTTTGACCCGAGAGCGTTGGTAACCCTGCTGCGGACAGGTGAGTCCTGGACTCTGAAGGGTGTGAAGGTACAGACTTTTAGGGAAAGCGAAAGGGAAGTCAGGTTGAATCTTAAGGGATCTGACCTCCCGCGCCGACCGTTTGCCGGCTCTGGGCTCCGGCGACTTTTCGGGTCTGGCGGCATAGCTCACACGCTTAGCTCAGGGGCCTGAGAAGAATCCTTAGTCGTGTCTGCTTCCCGTCCTCCGCTTTCCTTCACCTCACCTCGTCCCTTTTCGCTGTCCCGGGAGATCTCAGTGCCAAGCTCCCAACCGCAGGGTTCACTTGGGCGCCGTCGTCTCTCGCTTCTCCGGCAACCAGAAGACGCACGGGTGGACTAGACTGGTTCCGCTGGGATTTGTGGATGTGGATGGAAGTGGGTGATCGGAGTTTACCCTTAGATCTCTGATGGGTAGAAATGTTAATCATTAAATCGGAAGAAAAAGAAGTAGAAAATCAGTGGGGACCCGAAGGAGCAAAACAAAGTGCAGTCTTCTTGGACTGTTCAGTTTTTATCTTTTCCAGTGTCTCTCGTTCTCAGTCTCGCTCGAGTTTCCTTCACCATCCCATCCTGGCCCACCGTAGGATGTTTGAGAATGAGCCGAGTGTTGCTCTGTGTGAATGTTGAGAGAAGAGTTTAAAACGGGCTGTTCTTAAGTTGCTGTCTCTGCAATCTTAGGGTTTATTTCTTTTTCTTCCCTTTCAGATGCCTGAAGAGTAGGTATTTATAAACATAAGCAGAATACCCGTTTTGTGGCTAAGGGACTAAAGTATTCCCCCTCTTGTATCTGGAAAGATCTGTTTTCTTTGTTAATTTTATAAACGTGTTTATTTCAGTTTCTAAGGTGGTTTGGATATACCTTTGTTCATGTTAAAGCATTCCTTGAGTCATGTGTGCAAGTGACCTAGCAGTAGAAGAAAAGAGTTTGCAGACAAAGTAAATCAATTTGGGGTTTGATAGATGTGGGAGGGTTAAGGTTTAGAGTTAAGTTAAACCATATGACCAATTAATAAAACATCTGCATCTTGAGACATAGGTATTGCCCAGGATGACAAACATGCTGTCTTTGTGGTGTTGGACAAAGTAATGAGCTGGTTGAGTATCACCTTATCTTAAAAACTTTTTAGAACTTGCCACTCGTTTGTAAGAAGATGCCTCTGGCCTCCAGCTGTTCTCTGTACTCACCCTTGATAGGTGATTATCTCTTCAACTTAAGAACTTCACTCTTACTCTTAAAGAACCAACTGAGTGTTGGGGAAGTGGGTAGGGAATGGGCTAGATGAGCTACTTGTAATGATGAGGACTGGGTATTGTATGTAAGTGATAAATCTGAATTCTACTCCTGAAACCAATACTATATTATATGTTAACTAATTAGAATTTAATTTAAAATTTGAAGAAAAAAAAAAGAACATCACCCTGGCTGTCTAATTATGTCAAGAAAGTGTCATTGGTGTATTTTAAGTGTCCTTACTGAAGATTATAAAACAGAGTAATACTAACAAAGAGAGAAGATTCAGGAGTGGGTTCTGAGCTTGGGAAGAAAGGGAAAGAGTGATAGAAGATAACAAAAGCAAGAGAACAAAAGCATGTATTGCTATTTTCCTTTATAATTTATAGACTATTTACTATATTCAGTAGACCTTTTACATTCCCAGAGACTGACCTTCCTATATTTCAGAAGAAACAATGGTATGTAACTTCTCCCATAGTGCAATATCATGTAAAATAATTATAACTAAAATATTTCACTGACCTTTCAGGTTTTATATTTCTTAGAATTATAGGACTAAAGTAATTGATAAAGTTATTAAGCCTAATTTGGTCTCCTTCCTTCCTTCCTTCCTTCCTTCCTTCTGTAGGCTCCCTAATCCAGCATGGAGCCCAGCTCGGGGCTTGAGCTCATGACCCTGAGATCAAGGCCTAAGCTGAGCTAAAGAGTCAGGAGCCTAACTGACTGAGCCACCCAGACCCCTCCTCCTAATTTGGTCACTTTTAATCTTTAGTTTTAGTGAGTAATTTTTATAGTGGCTGTAACACTTGCTGGATGTTAACCAATTTCTTCCCATATAGAATTGTTTAATATATTCCTTTTAAAAATAGAACCAATTTTTTTTTTTTGGAAGATTTTATTTATTTATTTGACAGACAGAGATCACAAGTAGGCAGAGAGAGGAAGAGAAGCAGGTTCCCCGCTGAGCAGAGAGCCTGATGCGGGCTCAATCCTAGGAGCCTGCGGCCACAACCCGAGCCGAAGGCAGAGGCTTTAACCCACTGAGCCACCCAGGTGCCCCAAGAACCATTTTTTTAAGAGAACCAATTTTTTTTTTTTTTAAGTTTGACTTGCAACTACCCCCCGCCCAACACACTCAAAACAAAAATAGCTTGGTTTTGTGCCAACTGAAAAATCTATTCTTTTAAAATAGATTTCCTCTACACTTTGAAAATTATGATAAAATTGTTAATGCTTTTAAGACATTAAATACTGGTATCTGAGCATATCTAAGAAGAAAACACAGGGGCAGTATTTTTAAATATATTTCCTATTATAAGAGTGTTTGTGCCTGTTTTTGAAAAATGGAATCATTATGGAAAATATAACACTGAAAGTCAAAATCCTAGTTTATCTTTTCCCCTACCAGCAGGTAACCACTAGTCCCCTTTGATATTTGGGAATCAAACTCCTTGGGAGAGATGATACTAATAGCACCAGACTTACATCCTACAACCTTAGAAACTCCAAAAGAGAGAGAACGTCCCTTTCTCTTTGATTCCAAGAGACTACTACAGGAATTTCATTAACCTGACTGTGTGTCATTGCCCATCCTAGAAGCAGTCTGTTATGTGATGGAATGCTTTGTGTGGTTAGGATTGGCTCTTGTTCTCACCATGGTGTGATAGGGGCATACAGTTTTATTTTATTTTTTTTTCATACAGTTTTAAACCACATGAATTAAGAGTAAGCAACATCGGGGTGCTTGGCAGGCTCAATCGGTAAAGCTTCCCCCTCTCGTTGTGGTTGTGAGTTTGAGCCCATGTTGGGTACAGAGTTTACTTAAAAAAAAAAAAAAAAGAGTAGGCAACTGAAGTATGGTTCCTCTTTACGAAAACTGAGGTGTCATTTCCTGGAGAGAAGGGAAAGGTTGCTGGACAGACAAAAACAACATATGTTCACTGATATAATTTTACGTGTATTTTTTTAATTTAGAGAACTTGCTTTCCTTTTCCAATATAAATTAATTGCATTTCACAGTTTGAGTGTTTTTTTTTAAATGTCTATTTTTAAAAATGTCTATTAACTAATGGAACTTGGAAATTTAAACTCTTCAAGTAGCATGTATTTGTTATGTGTTTAGTACTTGTGCTCTGGAGTATTTGGCTTTTTTAACTTTAAATATATTGTGTATTTAGCCCGTTTGTTAAAATCATTTATCGATAAATATTTTTATTACTGTGGATAAACTTGATTAACAAATTGCAGTTTATAAATAGTAAATAAAAATGTTCTGAGTAATTTAAGTATACGTAGTTACTATGGTTGAATGCTTGATTCTTTTAATTATTATGTATTTAAAAATCTGTTTGTATAGAAAACCACTTCATTTTGAGTGTTTTATGAAAAATAAATCACGATAATTGTTACAACTTGATGTCACTGGGTATTAACTTTAAAACTATAGTCGACATTATTGCCTGCTTTTGTATCTTTATGGATTATTCTGATGGTTCATTACATTTTAAGAGAAAATATAATTGAAGTAACATTGTTTACTCCACTGCCTTGATTTTGTTTAAAAGAAATGTTAGTAGTTCAATTCAGTGGACATTTGAACTTAATTGCTAACACAAACTTTAGTTTAGACAGATTTATATTCTCAAACCCAATTCCATCACTTCTTGATGTTGAGCAAGTTATTTAATCTCTCAGAATTTGAGTTTATTCCATCTGCAAAATAGAAATAATAATACTTATCTCATAGGGGTCTTGTGAGGAGTAAGTTAATGTATGCCAAGTGCCTAGGATATAGTAGGTTCTTACTGAATGTAATTGTTAAGAATAACAACAACAAGAAATAGTGTCTAAAAAGATTTTATCTCCCCAGTTTCAGAATGTTTAGCCCCAGGAATTTAAATGTGTATATAGGTGCTAAGGAATTAATCAGATTGTTCTTTCTTCAGATTTGTTTTTATTTTAGCAGGGTTGTGTTTTTGTTTTTGTTTTTGTTTTTTAAGCAGGCTTCACCACCCCCAGCATGGAGCCCAGTGTGGGATTTGAACTCAAAATCCTGAGCTCAAGACCTGAGTTGAGATCAAGAGTCGGTCACTTGGGCCCCTTGGTGGCTCAGTGGGTTAAGCCTCTGCCTTCCGCTCAGGTCATGATCTCAGGGTCCTGGGATCGAGTCCTGCATCGGGCTCTCTACTTGGCAGGGAGCCTGCTTCCTCCTCTCTCTCTCTGCCTGCCTCTCTGCCTGCTTGTGATCTCTCTCTTTCTCTCTCTCTGTCAAATAAATAAATAAGTCTTAAAAAAAAAAAAAAAAGAGTTGGTCACTTAACTGACTAAGCCACAATTTTAGCAGATTTTTAATACCATGTTGCACATGTAGCAATTAACTAGAAAACTTTGTTTAAATTACTTAATTATTAGTGGACTGCCCAAGTATTTGAAGATTGCCTGGCCCAAGTGTGACGACTATTAGCCTGGAGGAATGTATTGAGAGATTTTTGCACAAATGCTCAGAAAAGCTTAATATTAAGTAGAAGGTCTCACGTTCCTTGACTATACAAGGGGAGTTAGGTGCTGAGTACCTTGGGTGTTCAGACCAGAATTTATGATGACTTATGGTAGTAGGCAGAAATAATAAAAATGGATTTGTTTTTATTTTTAAAGATAAGTTCAGGGAGATACTTCTGTGAAATAATGCTTTAAGAACATGTTACATCGGGCACCTGCAGGTAGAAGAGATAGATAGCAGTTTGGAATGTTACTTGAAAAAACAAA